CTGGATATGCTACTTTGAACTATATTATTATCACTAGAGACAAAAATCAGTGTCCTGAAGTTGGTGATTACAGAGGGTCTGGAGTTACCCACAGATCTATGCACATCTACCCACATATAAATGTACATTTTTTCCCATTTCTACCCCTGCTTTAAAAATCCTAGAACTAGAAGGAAAAATTGGGTAAACTTGACTAGAAATAAGAAAATGAAAAACAAAATGTAAATTTCCAAGATGCTAGACAAAAGAAATAAAATTTAAAAAAAAAACCTACAAAATGAGGTAATCTTTGGCTATACGGCCAGGAGGTTCAACAGTGATATGAAGGCAGCAATTAAAAAATAAAAAAAATGCATATGGGAAGACAAAATAGATAGCTGCTATAAACTTGATGTAAAAGAATACAATCTTGATAAGGAAAGCTTAAAAAAGACATGACTAACAAAGATAAGGATGATACAAGAGAAATTTTAATCTACTAGGAACAAAAGCAGTGCTCAAAATGCGATGGGGGCCTGTTCCAGACCATTGAAGTACTGGTGTTGGGTATTTCTCAGTTTAAAGCAAGTGGGATGATGTATCTGCTGTTCTGTTAGCACCCAGGCAGAACGGTGACAGGACTGCAAGTAAGCCCAGAGACAGGCTTAATGTATGCTGGATACAGAGACAGGTCAGTGGAGCAACAGAGGGCAAAGATGAAGACTAGGTAAATATAGGCTCGTTAATCTGACATCAAGGATAGGGATTGGAAAACAGGGTCAGAAATCCATTAATAAAGAATTAAAGGCAAACATGCAATTAAAATCCATCACAAATAGACCCTGTCATTCAACCAGGCTTAGTAAGTCTAATTATAAAGACCTGGCATGGCGCTCTACAGCATACGTGGTATTTACAGATAACTATTTACAATATAAAATAAATGATGCGCGTGTGGATTAAGATTGTCTCCCTACAGATCTCGGTTTGCCACCGTCCTTCAAACAGGGATGTTTCCTGTGAGATTCTGCTGAAATCACTGCTAGACCTCGTACTATTTGACACTTTCATCAGTGATTGAGAAGCAAAGCTGAAGTCACTCCTGAAAACGCTGGTAAGCAACCGCGCGGTAGGAAAACACACAGAACAACATACATTGCTCAGTAAGCCTGTGCCGAACAAAGTGTGACTTAATTTGGCATTTAGCTGCGTTAACACAAGGAAGACAACGTCGTCCACAGCTGGAGGAAAGGGGGGTCTGTATCTCAGCTATCCCAGAAAAGGCTGAGGGGAGGTCTAAAACTTAGCACATCTGTTGCCAAAAGGGTTAAGACAGTCTTTAAGGGTATAAACAAGGAAGAAGTAGGAATGTCATGCCTCCTGGATAGAGCAGGAGAGAGAAAAATCTCAGCGTCAGTTCTGATGTCCCTTCTTGATGTCAAAAAAAGGAAGGTCCGAGACACAAACATTATGGTAAATCCTGGAGAAAGTTCTTTGTAGGGAGAGACTTAAAGCAGCTCTGTCTCTTCAGCTTATGGAGAAGACGAACAGGCCCCTTCGTTACTATGCAAACATGTTCAGGGAGAAAAGGCCAGAAAAGGTTTTTTATTTGGCAGGCAGAGTAAGAAGGAACAAAGGCTGGGAGCTGAGGACAGACAACTCAAAGTGGAAAAAAGGCACATGCTTGTTACAATAAGGGCAAGTAACGATTGGAACAAATTAGCAAGGAACTTGTTAGTTTAAGAGCACTTATATTCAAAAGATATGTTTCATAAAACATTTTTTTCCTATTAGATGATGTAAGTCCAACGCGTGTGACTCAAAACACCCTGGCACTGCCGTGGAATTGTGGCCAATTACACCAGGAGGAAGCACCAATTACCCTTCTGGTGGCAGCTGTGATGAATACTTTAGACATAAAAAAAATCCCTTAAAAATAAAAAGCAAAATAAATGCAATTATTCAGGATTTGGACAATGCAAAAGGACTTCTTTCAGGCAATTAATTGGAATTTTACCTAGAGGAGAACTTGCTGTAATGGCAGGTAACACATTTCAGAGGTTTCTGTTTTAGCTGGTGAGCGGCACTTTGAGTAGGTATGACCTATAGATTTGAGTCCTCGGTAATGGTGTGCCCAGCTTCCTTCCAGTGACACTAACCCCCCTCTTTCACACAGTGCAATTAAATTACAAACACAAATGTGGAAAGCAAATCAGCTGCAATCCTTCAGCTTCATTTGTTCTTCTCTTCATTTTAAAACTATAGGTACACATCAGACATCCAGCACGGAAGCTGCACACTTCTTTGATGTTGTGTTTGCACAGCAGGTAGTAATTTCAAAATTTTTGTTGTGCTTTTATTTTCCAGAATAAGTTAACCAGCCTCCACCCAAGAAGGCATACTTGCAGCCCTCCAGCCCTTTAAAGATGGGAAGCAGGAACAGAATGGAAGGAAGAAAATTTGTCACTGAACTCCTTTGTAAGACAAGTAGCAGGTTGATAAAAGCCACTGCTTGTAACTGCACAACAGCCATACACTGGTAAATAACAGGTATACACACACAGTGTGTGTAAAGATAGCAATTAATTGGTAGTAACAAAGATGTACAGAAAATTTAAAGTACCCATAGTAGCTTCAAAGTGGTTCCACTTATGTATGTTTTAAGGGTGTATATATGTTGCAGTTGAGTGAAACCCAGGCCACAGACTGAAGCTGCTTCAGAGTCAGTGATGCAGGACTCGTGCTAATGTTGGTAAATGAAACAAAAGCCTAGATGAACTCCTTTCCCCACCCTTCAGCCCACGTGGAAAGTTAGTTAGCTACTGTAACTCAAGAGTCAGTGGCCTGCCTGGCTCCAGGTGCTTCCAGGGCCAGCCACCGTTTCCACTCTCAGGCAGCATGGAGCCTGCAGCAGCACGAACTGACACCTCCACCCGTCCCGTGCTGAACCAGGAGCGCTAGGGAAGCATGATCCAGACAGCCCAGAGTGCCTCAGTTTGGGCACAAGCCAAGCTTATGAGCTTCAGCCCAGCACTGCCTCTGCCCCCAGGGCTCCTCTGAAGCAGCTTGGACACCTTTGCTCCATAGTGTTCCAGGTTTCAGGAAAGATTATTAACATTTATACTAGTCCCAACACCCTGCCCACCCCAGTAAGCCTTCCCTGAATCTGAAGAGCTCAGTTCAGAAAGCAGAGTGGTTTTACAGCTAATTAGCCTATCTGGACACGCTCAGCCTCTTGGGTGAGAGCACTTCTCTCCCAGCAGATCCCCTCGTCCCCACCCTGCCCAGGTAACTCACGCTTTGGCTGGGTACTGGAGTCCCACACACCCGCACCAGCCACTGCTGCCCTGTGGCTGCTCTGAGGAGCAAAATCTTTCTTTAAAACTTCCCATCCACACACCCAAACTTTATTAGTAAGGGAAATTCAGCCTTGCACATTAGAAACTTTACTCCAGTAAAGCATGGCATAGTTACAGTTTCAGCACATGGAAATCGTAGAGGCTGGTTGTTGTTATTTACTTAAGTGACATTTTAATTATGCAGAAGATGTTAAAGGCTGCACAGGCCTCACTGGGAATTACGGCTTTTCTCTTCTTTTGACAATGACATTTTAATTCCCGTAGACTTAATGCACACTCACTGCAGACTTGAGATAGCTTACAATCAAACAGGTAATCACAAAGTCAAAAGTAAAAATGCAGCAGGACAGAGTTAAACAACGATCAAAAAACCCTCCACAGCTGCAGAGAAAAAATGAAAATAAAGCACCAAGAACGCCTTAGCTTGAGAGACTATTCCTTTCAGGCATATCAGTGTAAAGACTGGAGCTCTATAATTTCAGTCCTTAAGTACACACGAAGAGACTTCCTGAAATAAATTTAAGATGACAACTAATAGCCAACAGACAGCCACCACTAATTATTTAATTAATCATCTACTGAAATCTGCATGGAAACAACTGAAAAATCTGCCTCCAATGCAAACATTTCAGCATCGATATACAAAACAGTAAGTAGTAATTACAAAAGATGCCCCTTCTCCAAAATCTGAATGAACTACTTCAACAGCACCTATGTATAGATATTTCAAAGACTTTAAGGTCTAGTACACTATGAAAATCTTTTGCAATCAACTTTAACATCACTTATTTGTTTGCCATTATGGATATCTGTAATATGAATGAATCTCAGACAAGCAAGTTTAACTAATTTTATGGTACCATTACAAAGTATATATATATATACACACACACACAGAGGCACAAAATTTCCTTGTTACCTTCAGAAAAATTAATAAAAAGTAAACAAACGGTGGTGTAAGAGTGGCCTGAGATTAATTTACTGATATTGCTATAAGCAAGACAAAAACAAATCAAATGCTTCAAATTAATGTCTTGCAAGTATGTTATTTGTGGGTGGCTATACGCACGTTTAAAAACAATACCATCACGGGAAGGACTCAAATAAGTTAAGAACTTCACAAACCAAACCGACAGAAATACCAAGCCTTTATTACAAAGAAAAATTATTCCACAGAAGAGGTTGGCTTGTTTCCATGCATGCTGTCAGTCATATTCACCTGCTGAGTGTGGAGAAGTGCTTCTGCTAGATTCATTAATTCCCCAAGACACCATTAGGCTTAGTCATTAGGCTTAGTTCTTGGCTACAGGTGCGTGGGCATTTTGATTCAACTGAATTGCTTGCTAGAATTTTGTTGCCAGCATTGAATGGGCCAAAATAATGAACCTGACTGTTGGACAAGCCAAACACCACAAGGGAAGAAAAAGAAAATTTAAAAAAAAAAAAAAAAAAATCACACACTGGACACTGTTATCACTAAGAGAAGTCAAATGCCTTGCTTTACATCCACATTGTAAATAATTTCACAAGCAGGGAAATGAATATGCTTGAGTCTTATCTTCACTTGGGGAACGTGAAGAATGTTTGCTGAATCCTTTTACTGGTACGTGCAAGCACACGGTCACAAAGCCTGAAAGCCAGCAGAACTAGATTGAATTAATGTTATCTATTGTTGTTTGGATTTTGAACAAAATTGATGGAGTATGAACCAGTTGATGAATCCTGTTTTATCTGGAAATTTTCTGTGGACAGGCCAAAGGGGCGGAGAACCAAATTCCCAAGATCCTTCAGTTTGCCTACAATGAAAAGGAGAGATAACACATTAAGTATTAAGCAGAGGGAAAACTCCCATTGAATTATGCCCAACTACACTGTCCAGCTCTACTAATTTATCTACTAACTTAAGGTAAATGCTGTGGAAATCTCTGCAGTTTGTTGAATACTTAAGCATGAATTAAAAAAATCCCAATTGTGATGTAGTTACTGTCAACTTTGGGGTTGAAAACAGATCACCGTGCTGGTTCTGAGTGGTTTGTCAGGCAGCTCTGATGGAGAGCCAGCGGCTGCAGACAGTCATGGCTGTGTGGTTATAGCTATCTGGAAGCACCTTATTTCCTCAGTTATAAGCTCTTGAGGCACGAGAGTTTAACAGCTCACAACAAAGCACTGGTCTCCCCTATACTTACGCTTGGATATAACTCTGATAGCTGCCAACATTCCATTTTCTAACACAAGGTTTTCAGTTCTGGTCATTTTTGATGTAGCTACAGCTCTACAAACAATCACAAACTAGCCAGTTTCCTAGACTACCAAAAGAAACAATGAAAGCCAAAGTTCAAACTGCTCATTTGTAATTATTAAAAATCCCTTTCTAAATATGTATATTGATACAAAGAAAAAGAAAACAAATTCATCCTTCCAACTATGTTTGCACCTGCAAACTAAGCAGTTCCATCTGAAGCATACAACTTCACAGCCATTTTGCCTGCAAAAAACCTCAGCGTGATGTCATTTGACATGACATCATTAACTAACTTTCAAAACTACAGTTCTCCAGGACTAACTTACCACTGCTAAGCAACTACTATTTAACGAGCAATGTTAAATATACATAGGGTATGACAGTTAATAAAATCTAAAGGCTTATATCAATATATGTATGTATCATACATGCTTTCTGACTCTAGAAAATGAATCTTGCTACCACCTATAAAAGGGGAAGGGCAACAAAAGGACATCCTTTTTAAAAAAAAACATATCTATATAGAGATGATAGGATAGCTAAAATGCATAAAATTAAACAAGAAGCAGAGGTAACAACTTCCATGTTGGCTAAACACAAGCTGAGCCCCTGGCATGACAAGACAAAGGAGGAAGATGGTCAGTTTTCCAAGAAAAACATTATTTTCCTCCTGGCTTTAATGCAGAATTGTAGACTGATTCCCCAAAGAACAAACAGGAGAAGTTTTGACAAGTTGAAGCCTACCCTAGGTTTGCATCCAAGGCTACACACCGCCTTTCAAAAAGCCTTCTACCTTTACTAGATCTTCAAGGCAATGGATTTTGTTTTGCTGGAGTTTTGTGTGTGCATATGGTGGGGAAAACATGACCATCACAACATGACAACAACAACAATAGCTGGCACACAGGAATCCCAGTTAAGCAACTGAAGTAGTTACAATCATGTAACTAAAATGTGCAAATGCCACACCTATTCTTACTTGCATGCGTGTGCTTTCTGCAAGCCATCTTAAGTAATAAGAAACATCTCTGTTATTCTAGTCATCTTCACCCTTATTTCTATTTCTAAACTAACATATTACAATCTAACTGCAAAGTCATATGAACACTTATCATTTAGTTTCTTTGCTTTTCCTAAGTTCTTCTGTTTGTTTGAAAACCCTGTTTCTGCCCAGCAGTGCAATCATCACTACTGCTAGTAAGTTCCCTCACTACAGTGCACCAGCCAGAATTTAGTTCAGGCTTTGTTGCTAAGCCATACTGAAACAGTAACTTCACAGAAGTGATAAAGTAGTATAGAAACATAAGGAGCAAAGCCATATATAAGTTCTCTACAGAAAGAAACAGGCAGTATTTATGATGCACAGAGGACAAACAGATCAAGAGATTTGTCTTGCATGACACTGCAGGCCTGTGACCTGTGCTTAAAACAGAGATCATATCCAAGTCTGAACTTATCCCATGGAAGTATGCCCCTTATCTCTTACAATCTGGCAACAGTTCAAGTCAGGTTGGACACCATCACCATAAACCAAAAGATGCTATTTTTTCAACCACATTTCCAAAATTGAATTGGGGGCAGGGGGAGCTTTTTTGAACACATTCACAGAAAATACAAAAAGAAACAACAGCTGGGGAAAGATGTAAACATTTTATTGTAAGGAACAACTAAGTCCTGCATAAAGAAAATAACAGCATTACTACGGTACTCCTAAATACGCCAAAGTAATTAAGATCTTGCATCAAAGTGCTGGTTCACAACTGCGTATCTTTCAGAGATTTGTGTAATTATTTTAAAGCAAGATTGGACTTTGAGAGTCAACATGGAAATTCTGTCGCCTTACACAGGAAAAAAGACAACCGAAGCCTACAAAAGCAGCTAGTTGGTGAGACAGAATTTTTCTTCAGTTTGATTTTTATTTTTTTTTCCCCCTATGTGGATTAACAGATGAGGTGGTTGAGTGATCTGGCCAAAGTCATTCCAGTGAGTGGCTCAGCTAGGATTAGCTTCCTTGTACTGGTAGTGGTTTTTTTAAAGCTACACCCCATTTAAGTGAAGTTAACTATTATCAAGTTCATAATTTTATACTGCATCCTAAAAGCATTTTGGTTGTAAAACTATAAAGTTGTTCATAGCGTCTCTATGACTGGGATGAACAGTTGCTATTGTACTTCTAGACAAACATTTGGTCATTGTTTAGCTTCAGGTTTGGGGTGAGAAATGTCTTTGCTGGTGGAAGAATCCTGGCATAGTCTGGCATTGCTAGAGCCAGATGTAAACAGTTCACAAGTTATCCAGGCACTGCAGCTGGCTCAGGAGCAGGCAGACGAGTTTGCCTGTTTCAGGAAACTGTGAAAGGTCTTTTCTAATTGGAGTTAGTACTATGGCTCTTTTCCGGTCATACTAGAGCCAATAAACAGAACAACTGCCTTGGTATTCTTGCTTGTAGCTAGGCCAGCTCTTTGAGAGAAGCTGAAGACTATATGAGATATTTAATACTTTATTCTTCATCTCACTGGGATTGAATAATTAAAACAATACAGTCATAGGTCACCTTCCTTAAATCCACATACAGCAATGCCTTTTGGTGCACCCACATTTAATAAATTGTTAATGAAGCAGAAGAAAGCCTTGCCTTTTCCGGGAACTCAAGCCCAAAGCACTGCTCCTGCTGTCTTGGCACACATAAACCCATCATTGTAGGAAAGCACTATTTCCTCCTCCCCCACTCTCCTTTCATCCCTAAATTAAGATCTGTAGTTAAGTCCAACCTCCCCCTCCCCCCAAAGAAAAGCTCTCTTAAAACAGAGACTGTGCGTGAAGGAAGGAAAACGGCATGTGGAGCTGTGACTCAGCTGCAAAGAGTTATCAGCAGTCAAACACTCATTTGTCCCTGAGCCGGGTCACATTCTCCTCTCCGAGACCATATTTTCGTAGATCTTGTTCTTTATGTTTTAGAGAGCCTATGTCTACTTTTCACCTGGAACTCCAGCATGTTAGTTTCTTCAGCAAAGCAATATTCAGAGGTTAACAAGAAAACTAACTGGTAAGAATCAATTTAGGGCTCCGAAGTCTGTGGTTCATTACTCACCTAAACTGCAATGTAACATACTATTGCAAAAGGCAGATGCACAAAAAGATTTCTCACAATTTACATTAAGATGGAACAGCCAAAATTAATTGCTATTCAATCTTTCTGGCAATAATTCTACTATAGTTGCTAGTGTTAATGTGGTGTTTGGGAGTTGAAAAGCTATATATTGTTTGTGTTAAGAATTTTTTTTGGATAAAAGACAAATTTCCTGATGAGGTCTCATCTTTGTATTACTTTCTGTATTACCAACAACATTTCTTAAGCAATTAAAAGAGCGAGGGCAAATCCTTTTCCCTTCCCTAAATGAAGGGAAGTCCTCCCTAAGTGAGGACTCAACTAAAAGTAACTGTATATTAGGTCTGGTTTGAACTATTTAAAGCGACCTCCCTATATCCATTTTTGGGGGTTAGCAGCTTAGTTGCAAATACAGCATACCCTTCAGTATCAAAAAAAAAGAAACTAATTCTTTAGGCACTAAGCCTAATAAATATCTTTGTTGATCTCATGTAGCTGGAAAAATCTCTTACTGGCAGAAAGGCTCAGATGATACGCTCTCATAGGCCTTCCCATTAATCACATTGATAATCAAGTACATTTCACTATTTTCTGGAATGCACTCATTTATAATTTAAGCTGCAAGACACAATAGTTTTTAATTAGATTTGATGAACTCTGTCTAAGATGGGTTACACAGAATGGCATATGTTCCATCCTGGTTTTTTTATATCCAATATACGTGGCTCCCCTGTAGCCATGCAGAAAACTGTATTGCTGTCACAGCCCCCAAGCTCCTAAACCTCGCTAAAACTATTCCAAACTTCCCCTCTTCTCACACCCTCTCCCCAAAGGAGCTGATCCTAGTTATCACAGTAATTATAGTTTCTATAAACAAGACTAGCTTGTTGCACAACAGCTGGAAATCTTTGGCTTTAAAGTCAGAAGAGAAATAAAAAATAACACAAAAAATGGTCAGTATATGTTCAAGTCGTGGGCAATTACTAAGGCAGAGGACACTCATGTTATGAAAACATAAA